GCAGTAAGGCCTCTTTTTGTAGAAACAGCAACTAATTAGACTATTTAGACTATATTAAAAAATATTGTCACGGCGCTAAGTGATATAAAGTTTTGTTATGTCGGAGTACTCCAGTTACATAGGGCTGATGTTGTCGGCCATGGTTGTTATCTCAATTTAATAGGATTTAAGTTGCATCTTTTTGTACAGTCCTGTATGTGCTTTCTAAGATGAACAAATGCCTCTTGCCAGTTGTACGTGCTATGTTTCCAGCAGTCTAAATACTGTTTAAAATCTGTTTACTCATATTGACCAAATTACTCATGTTGCTCTCATTGTTTTCTCTAACATAGAATGTAAGTTAATTGTAAGCCCGAACTCTTATCTCAAATTTATAGCAGGCATCCGTGTCATCTTCAATTCCTCATAACCTCTGAGGAATGGACTTGCATCCTACAGCCCTTCTCACAAAGAAAGTTCTAAAGTTGACCTTACAATCACCCATCGTTGTGTTTTCAGCCCATAATCTCAAGGACTTTCTTAGGGTACAAACTGCTATTGCTGAGCCCCTCTCAAATCCAGAAAATCCATTTGCTCTTCATTAAGAATCCAGACATCGCACGGAGTCCATCACCACAGCTCAACCTGGCTTCCCTCCTCCCCACCCCAGCAGAATCTCAACCACCGCACTCCTGCCCCCAGGTGACCGACTTTTACCTATGTCCCAGAGATGGACTGCAAGATCAGCCTCTCCCCTCACTTGACCTCACTCTCTTTGTGGACGACAGCTCAACACGAGGGGCTGATGGACACCGCCATGCAGCCTGCGCAGTAGTGACCTCAGACGCAGTCCTTACAGCACAAGGCCTCCCCAAGGGTACTACATCTCAAAAGGCAGAACTTTGTGCACTTATCACAGCACTGACACTGGCTCAGGGAAAACAGGTCAACATTTACACTGACTCCAAATATATTTTTCTCATCACACATTCACATGCTGCCATTGGGCAGAAAAGAGGCTTCCTTACTATCAAAGGAAGGCCCATTAGTAATGCCGCTCTTATCACTAAACTTCTCTGAACTCTTTCTCTCCCAAAACAGGTGGCAGTCATTCATTACAAGGGACACCAGTCCTCAACAGACCCGGTGGCGAGGGAAAACAAGGCGGATGAGACCACAAGACGATCTGCCACCCAGGCAGCTGCAACCCCTGTGATGTTCCTCTCCACCGCTCTTAAACCTCTCTGTTCTCCACTGGAATGACAAGACCTGCTCGCTGCAAACCTCTGCCATTACTGAGCCCCTCTGAAATCCAGGAAATTCATTTGCTCTGCATTAAAAATTCAGACATCACCAGATAGCCTTGTCCTTTCACACGGCAGTTCCCTTACAAATAATCACAATGTTTTACACGTGAGACCTAATTAATTACTCAGGTTCTTCACACCTCTGTTTTCCTGCCCCAATATGAGGAAACTCCTCCGGCAGATTCATGCTTCCTGTCCCACCTGCTCCATGGTTTCCTCACAGGGGGCTCTCAAGCCAAGGGTGCCTACTCATCAACTCAGAAGATACCAACCAGGAACAGACTGACAAATAGATTTTACTCATATGCCCACTCACAAAACAATCCATTGTTTACTCATTGTGGTTGACACTTTTTCAGGTTGGGTAAGTGTTTCCCATGACTAAAGAAACTTCAGCAGTAGTAACAGATCTTTCTCAAACATCATTCCTCGGTGTAGTCTACCCTTGTCCATCCAATCTGATAATGGCCCGGTCGTTGTTTCACAGATCACTCAACGGGTGTCTGAGGCATTACACACTACCGTCCTCAATCTTCAGGAAAGCTGGAGAGAGCTAATGGAATCATCAAGCGCCACCTCACAAAGCTTTCCATGCGTAAGACTCTTCGCCCAGACACACTCCAGCCCAGGTGGGCCAGACCTCATACAGTGATCGTCACCACATCTACTGCGGCCAAATTTCTTGGCCACACCTCCCCATACCACCTCTCACATCTCAAACCTTTTCGAGCCACTACCTCATCTCAGTGGGAGATTCAACAGACAGGGTTACTACACCAAATTTTAAATGCCAAGATGCCTCCTCTGCCTCCAGTCCTACTAATAATCCCCACTCATGTCATGGCTCATTCTGATACCCACTCTACTGATAATTATGGGTCCCTTACTATCTATTGCCCCTTGCTTCCTGAGGATCATCCAAGAAAAAATTCGCAAAGCCTAGTGAGTCACTTTCAACCAGATATTACTGCACACCTACATTCCAGTACCTGTGGAGCCACTTTCAGACCTCACTTAGGGACAACGCCCCTCTCCAGCAGCATGTAGCCAGATCGAATTGGTCACCCCTTTTCCTATTACCAAGAGGCAGGAATGATGGTCACCGCGGTTACAGAAAGTGGGTGGACACCACATTCACTTCAGCCTGAGATCTGACACGCCCCTAAAGGCAGCCAGGGCCGCATACAGGCCAATGACGGACAAACGCCAACATTCCCTGTCCTATCAGCACCCAAGCAGGCCTGATGCCAGCACCCATGGCAGAGGGGGTATAAAATCTTTGTCTCTGCTACCCAGCTTGTCTTTCCCACTTGTGGTCCTCTCTCCTGTTCATTGCTCCACTGCATGGGAAAAGCCCAGGAATGGACTTCTCTTTGCATAACAAAAGCCTGTTTGTACTTGGCTGGTATTTCTTTTTTCAGGTGGCAGGCAGCTCTAACAATTATCAGGTTTTTATCTGATTCCACGTGCAAAATGTGTGACTGCCAGTTCTCATGGAAGAGGTAGAACAATACTCCCACTTAAAAAATCATGTATTCTTAAGGAAAACCTGACAAGGGTGTTTGGCCTACAGATATCACGGGATACAGATCTCTCCAAACAATAACAAATTCTCTTTTGTAAGTTCCAAATGACTTAGAGACACAATCCTCTCAATATTTGAAAACCTCATCCAAAAAACAGACACACAAGAAATATTAGAACCATCATGGACTACAAAAAAAACCTCAGCAGGCCCAACAATGACATCAGTAGAATGAGACACATATAAGTTCACTAACTACTCAAGATCCTAGTGCAAAAATCAAAACAAGGTTATGAAAGAACAAATATTTAACCTTCCATTTTGCTGTGGGTTTTACTGTTTATTTTAGAAGCACATTGTATCCTGAACAGCCTGAGCTAAATTCAGATTCTGCCAACCCCGGAGATGAGCAACATTAGCCACAATCAAATGGGAAATGATTGTCGGGGGTTCATGAATACAGGGGAACAAGTGTGCACACACCATCTGTGAGTCCTGCTCACTAACCAACTGTTGACCGGGGGAGCCGAGGAAGACACCCTTTATGAAGCAAACACCCATCCCTCCCTATAAACTTCCCTAAGCTATGACATAAAAGTTGCATATCTTTGGTATTTGCACATCAACATAGGCTGTATATACACTTGCATATATGTCTTCAGAGAGAACTAAGATCTCTATGTGTGTATTCGTGTGTAACATACTACGAGTAACCTCTGAAATGCAACGGTTGATGCCCTAATGCCCAGTGTGACTCCATGGGGAGATATTACCAGATAAACAGCCATGAACGAAGGTGACCTTGTCTCATATACAAGAATTTCAGAGCAAAGTAATGAGCAAAGTAAGATTTACTGAAAAGAGAAGACTCCTGACACAGCACTTAAGACAGGCAGTACAGAGAGGAAGAGGAGAATCTGATCCAAAGGGGAATCTTTCAAGCACAATTCAAGGACCAATCAGAGCATAGTGACATAACCAACCAGAAGCTGGAATTGTAATCCTGTCTAGCCCGCTCATGAGTAAACAAAAAAGCCATTGGAAATGTGTGATCTCTACTGAATTTCATATTTGTCTGCTCTGTACTGGCTACATTCATAGAGTGCCTGTACTTCCTCGTTTTACTCCCAGTATTTTAAAAACGGACATTCTAGCATCATCTCTACGCAGCAAAGGCAGAGGGAAGAACATATAAAGTTTAAGGACACCATCAATACAAGAGCATTTATTCTCCATGGCCCAACTTGTTCCTTCCATAACAGTTGGGATTATTGGAAATTTTATAACTGATTTATCAACAATTCAACTATTCGAATGTTTAAAAACTGCCTCCAGCTGTGTGAGTTAGGAGAGCCTTGGATATTCCAAATGCTTATTAGAGTGCCTGGGTTAGAATCATGACCCTGTTTCTGATTAAGGTTCCTACTAATGAAGATCCTAAGGAGAGCAGAGTTAGTTCAGGGTTTTAGCCATTGGAAATGTGTGACTGGTAACTTCTATTCTCATGGTAGTTTCTAGAAACTTTGGAGGGTAGGATCCACTTGCGTCCTGCTAAATGCACCTTCAAGGCACAAAGGAGCATCCTGTGTACTTTGAAAGGACCCCCTATTCCTCGTTCCAGCAGGGTCCTCATCTTGGAATTACACAGATGCTCTGAGAAATCTCTGTGTTTTACCACATGCGAAAGATTGAATCTCCCAAATACTTCATCCTCTCAATCAGCTCTGCTTTCATGGCTCTTCAAACAGTCATAGCTACTTTTTGCAATAGCAACCGGGATTTATTATGGATGATGAATAAGGAACAGAGAAGAGCAGACGCCCTCATGAGTGGAGGGCTCACCACTTGTCCAGGGTTAATGTAGGGAATCTGCTTGATCCCGTAGTCATCAGGGATGAGCTGCTTCTCTTCCACCACGTCTTCAATTTGGTTCACACTGAACTAGGTAAGTCTTACTTCTTTGACATGTGCTTCTGGTGACCAGGGACTCTAACTCGGAACTGGAACTTGAGCCTGTGTAGGGCCTCAACCAAGTGTTCCTTGTTCTACAGCTTTGTGCAGAGAGACATGACAGCGAGGCCAATATGAACCTTGGCTACTGAGCCTTGGCAACCATGCCCCCCTCAAACCTGTATGGGGCCTACGTTAGGAACAGTATGTGGTCGGAGGCGTGAATGTCTGCTGAAAAGGGCTGTTTCAGAGGTCCTAAAGGGCAGCCTATAGGATAACAGGTTGTACACACTTCCAAGCAGACTGCTGTGGGCAGGCACTGCACACGTGTTCCCAAGAAGAAGGGGAACTGATCAGCTTCATTAGCTTCTCAAGATACAACTATTTTCATTGCTGAAAGACATTAATTAAGTCTCCTTTGATTTGGCATCTTTTTTAGGTTTTTGATGCACAGTCAGTCTCTAGAGACATCCCCAAAATTAGTGAAGTGGGTGTTATCTACAGAATGGCTGGGTGAAGTCCTAATGAACAGCACAGATTCACAAAATTACAAGCTAAGTATGTATTTGTTCTAAGAGGTCTAGTAAAAATGGAAAAATAAGAACAGCAAGCAAGCAGATAAAGGTAGCTTAATGTCATACAATTTATTAAAGCAAATATATAACTAAGGGATGTCATTGATGTGAAAATTAGTAAACTTCTTTCATATTTCTATTTTAAAAATGTGAATCTCTTTAGATGAACTACAGAGTTGAACTCAAATTAGTCCCATTCCCAGAGCTCCACACAAACATACTACTTTTCCATATATGAATTTCAATGACAAATCCTCTGAGGAAGGTGATGGCAAGTTAGCCAATAAAAGTTCTTTAGGAAAATTTCATTCTTATCTTTGAAATGGAGGAAATCAGTTCGACAAAGATCTTATTGTGCTTTATCAACAAAAAGGGGCAGAATGTGCGGTAACATGATGATAAAATTCCATTAATACCCTCCAATCTTATGTTTTTCCCAGAGTTGTGTAACCCATAAAACATCAAAGAGTTGTTGGCAACATAAAATACCACGAAGCACAGCACCAGCAGGAGGATAGTGCGGGTGGCTTTGTTTTCTGCAGATGACTGAGAAGAGTGAGTGAGGCTGTGGATGTGCCGGGCTCTCCTGCGGTGTCTGTAGAGGATGAGCACCATGTAGAGGCTGCTCCCGACCATGGGCACCATACACACAAGGTCATGCATCATCATGGCACTTAAAAATAATCTTGACTTGTATTCTTCACCCTTAGTGTTCTCACAGTATGCCTGAACATAACGCCCACTGCCAAGAGTGGAGTTTGATTTTGCTCTCACGCTTTCAATAATGTGAATGTAGATCAGCATGTTGATGACCCAGAAGGAAAGCAAAGAAGGTAAAATCCACTGAGACAGCTGAGACTTCAGCCACGCCCATCTAGAATGACTGGGACTGACACACGCTCTGCAGATGGAAAGGCACAATAGTTACGGTATTGACAACTGTCAGGTGCATGCACATCACATCCATGGGCTTCTTCAGGTGTGGCTCGATCAGGAAGATGTACGCATATATCAGGAAGACCAGTGAGTTTGCCACCACACCAATAAAGATCTGACTTAGGAAAAAGAAACTATAAATCGTGTCGCTGGCTGACATTGTGACAGTGGTGTTTCATACGCTTTTCTTAGGTTGTTAACTTTGGCGTCCTCGGGAAAATAGGTTACAATCTGAAATCACAAAAACGCAGCCCCGTGAAGGTTACAATTACAGCTCTGTTCCAGGGAGGTGCAATGAAACTGTCTAATCTTCTATATTTCAGACCCAACTTTGCTACTTTCAGGAACTCAATGTCAGCCGTCCTTTGAGCGTCAGGATGTAAGGTTCTCTTACATGAATGAGGTAGACTTCGGATCCAACGTGCTACCTTCTGGTGTGAGGACATGAGGCCGTGATGGCCTCTGTGAGTCAGTTTGAGGTTGATACTCAGATTCTTAGGCTGCTGGGCTCTAATCCTGTATGTTGTGCTTAAACTGATGAACATTATGGCTTGTATGCATGAAGGCTGGGGTTTGATTTTGGACTGCATTTTTAGAATTTCGACCACAAACGTAATTGTTACCGTCAAGAAACCTCTTTAAGTCATAATTTCAGAGTAGTTTACCCACTCATGTATTCGCCAAACAAAACTGTAATTAAATTAATTTTTATAATACAAAAAGAAAGAGCAGGTTTTCCAAGAAAGGAATTCTGCCTCCTGTCACCTAGCCAGAGGTGCTGGAAGCATTTTTGTTCTCGTTCTTGCTGTAGAGCCTCTGTCATGCAGTGCAGTGAGGCTGACAATGTGGCTGGGCTACCGCAACGTTTGGGACAGAACTCAATCTTTCTGGCGCCATCACAGATGAACTCAGTCCAACTGCACATCCCTGTGGCTTGCTGCATATGCCATATCTAAAACGTCGCCCAAAACCTGCTTCTATATGTACGTTTGATACAGCATCAGACCTAGTCAGTTCACAAACATATTGTGTACAGGAATGATATGACAGTCGTGGAGGCTGACACACAAATGAATAAAAATAATGCTTCATCTCTATTTGTGCTACTGTCATTCTCTCATAGTCTCTGTCATGTAACCTGTCGCCTTCCTCTCTCCATAGATCTCCACACATATATGACTCCTCCATAATGACCGCACCCGTAGAGTCCCTGAGCTTTCCATGTTGCACTCCCAGCTTTGCCATAACTCACATTCTGGCATCACCTCTACTACACCAATGGCAGAGGAAAGAATATCCGATGTTTAAGGACACCATCAATACAGGGCTGTCCTACTTCCACGATACCACTCATTCCTTCCCATTATTGTAGCTTAGGATCATAAGAGTTGGAATTATTTGACTTGTGTTACTCGAATAGTCCACAATGTAATCTGCTCTTTTACAAAGTGCATCCACTGGTGTGCGGGAGGAGGGCGGTAAGCACTCTCAGATGCCCACGACGCCCACAGAGCATCTGGGTTAGAATCATGACTCTGCTTCTGCTCCCGCACATCCCGGGACCCTGAAACTCACATGGATCCCACTTTCAAGTTCTTTGGGTGTAACTGGTAGATGAGTCTCATATTGTCTCTGATACTCGCCTCCTCTCCCTCTTACTCTCCTTTTGTCTCTTTCTGTCTTTCATATAATGAACAATGAATGAAGCTTTAAAATGCAACCTATCTTCAACAAACGGTACAACAGTTTCTGGTTCACCTTCAGAACTTATGACCATTCACTCCCTATCCAGTATCATGGAGGATGGCCAATTGCACAAGCTCTCCTCAACAGAATTGCCTGCTCACTCCACATACCTGCTTTTAGAAGTTTAGAGTCTCTTCTTATTGTATCAATGAGCTGAATTCCCCAGTTGCTTCCATTTTTATATATTTTCAGATCTGTTTCAGTTTCAACACACGATTGAATTTACAACTTTCACTCAAACACCCTATTTCAAAAGCACAGCGTATGTTGGGCAGTGTGGGTGCCAGCAGGCCTTCACTGTGACCCTATCAGGTGAAAGAAAATAAATCAAGCTCAGCCTCTTCATATTTCAGTTGACAGACTTGCAGTTCCCCTTGGCATTTGAATTACAAGAACAGGTAATATGTGTACAAATAGTGCATACACCGTGCCTCAGAGAACTGAAAATGTCAAAAACAACTCTAAAAGAAAGCAGGACATTCTTCCAAAATCATTTTAGAATGCCTGTGTTACCTGAAGCTTTCAGGAAACCCAGAAGGACACAGTGATATAAAGAAATTGCAGGCCAGTGTCCCCGACGAACACTGCTGAAAGCTCTCCACAAAATTTGGGGAGAATGTAGTTAACTGCACAATCAAAGCATCACTCACCATAAATAATCATAACATCTCCGGTTTTAAATTTAATATCGGACAAAATGAACATTTAGGCAGCAGAATAACTGGACACAATCAATAAGGCCAGTTTGAAGCACATAAAAATATTTGTAAATACAAAGCTGCAGGATCAATGCTTAGTGTAAACAGCTCGTGCCCATCCCTGTAGTATCCGATCTAACCTCCTTGATTAACTGTAGAACCCAGAGACAAAAGGTAAGGCAGACTATAAACAAGGTGAGCCACTCATCTCACTTGGTCCAACTGCTCTGACCGGCGCACACGTCACCTTCAAGTGCCCGGCTCCCCTGCTCCCCTGCAGCATGCTCCCTCTATAAATGCAGTTAAATACCAAACACGGAAGGAAATGAGGAGACAAAGTGGCAGAGGCTCACGTCACAGAACATCTTATCTTAACACAATGATGATGGATTGCAAAAAGAGAAGATATTTTTTAAACACCGATTTCTCAATATGTTGAGAAATATTTCATCTAAGAGCAGAGTGAAAATGGCCTATGATTATTGCCGAAATGCAGTGTGCTAAAATGAAGTCGAAATGCAGTTCTTTCCAAGGAATGACAACGTGAAGACCCCTCTAAAGAGGCGCGCTTCCTCGGGAGAAGACACCGAGAGCGCCACACTTCACAAGTCACCAACACTACAAAGTTATGTATTTTTTTAAATGTATCATGACTTAACTTGTTGCCAGCCGCCTCTGTACATACTGGCCGCATGCCGTACCCAAAATGGCGCCGGCCAGAGAAGCCACATCTTGGTGTTTGGTGGAGAGTCACGTAGATTTCGCAGTACTGCGCAGGCGCCTAGCGCATGCGCAGTGAGCTGCGGCGCGGCAGGCACGTAAACACTGGGACTGACGAATCCAGTCGCCCAGAACCCTGTGTAATCATGACGCCGACCTATCATCGGCGGAGGCGGGGCCAGACAGCACATAAGAGCAGAAAGCCTGCCGGGGTCGGAGCCTCTTTCCTCCTCATCTCGCTGTGCACAATAAATTTTACCGCAGAAGACTTCACTCGTGTCTGCGTCTTATTGCTGGGCGGTAAGACACGTGGGCGCGACATTAACTTACCATAAAACATGAGGACTGTAGAAAGTCACAGATGTACAAAGATCACCATGGTGAAATCGAGTAGCAGGTAAAGTCATTCCACGAGGAATCCCACAGAATGCCTCAATGGAAAAGTGCAGAAAATACCTGCAAACATAGCCCATGGATAGAGAAGAGCATCCAGTAACTCCACTGCGGACGAGGCAACACTTCACACCCAGCACAGAAGGCAGGTGTGAAAAGCATAATGATGCTACTTACTTCCGGGCTCACCTGGAAAACCAGCTGCACAGGTTAGTTTTAGGGGGAACTCAGTGATTTCCAATGTGAGTGCAGCACCTGACCAAGACAGTTAGCCGCAGAGGAAGGGAAAGGGTAACATTAGGAAGCTGATGGGTAAGATTCACCACAGTTTTAAATCAAAGGAGAAAACAGCTCAGCACCGCAACTGATACACCAAATACAGTGATCATTATACACATATATATATCTTAGCATTTAAATGATAAAGCATAATATCAACTCTGTGCTATAACGGCAACACACTGCAGGTTTTGCATTGCGATTGAGTACAAATAAAAATACCTGCTGCTTCTACTCATCATGCATTTGCTTGGGTCCATTTAAAAACTACTATAATATTAATGTCGTTATAAAGAAATTGACTCATTTATCATGAAGTGATTATGTATTAAGAAAGATACTCAAAGTCACTGATTAAAATCGTTAAATGCTGTGAGGGATTTTCTGAGAGCTAAGCATAAAAAAGAGGGATTTCAAAAAATAAAATACTTACGCTTTTACATAATAATGGAAAACAGTTTATATGCGATTAAATAAGTAACATCTCTAATTAGTAATTAATCTAGCTGATCTGAATGTGACTGAAGCCTCTTGATGAAGAACAAAGTATCCACTCATTTGAAATAAAAATAACCAAAATGGAGGCAAATGAAAATTACAATAAAATACAGATTCATAAAATAAAACTAGATGCACACTAATTCCAGCCACATAAATATTCATTTTAGTTTGAAAGAAAACAGCAAGACACGGGGCCAAAGTGAAAAACGCTCACCGACTGAAGACCTGGAGAGATCTGTGAACTCAAAAGGATGGAAAGAAACAGTGTCAGTGACAGATGGGAAGGTCCAGTCAACAACTGCAGAGCGGTCCTGTCTGAGCAGGCAGAGAGCAGCAGGGCAGGCGGGAGAGGCAACGAACCCTGCCTCCCTCTCCTCCAGGCTGGGGCTGTAGATCCTTACCAGAGGCAGTGGGCTTCCCCCCACGGGGAGGCGACTTTCAGATCATGGGTCTGCCGAGCACTGACTGTGTATCAGGGACAGGGAGACAGCACGCCACCTCCCAGTGCACACAGGTCACCTGTCACCTCCTACATGACACTGTTTATTGTGTCCTTAGGACACAACAGGGAGTCACAAATCACCTTCCCTCAGGCAATCTCCTGATGGACCATGGGTTGAGTCGTGAGCAGTGTCAACTTGGGACATGAGTTTTCCCAAGCGGAACGTCATCAGAAAGTAAACTTGAGGATGACAAAACCATCAGAAGTTAGTTCACATGCAGCTGACGGGAGTCATGACCCCGCTGGAGATTTCTTCTTTTTCTTATTCAGGAGTTGTGGTTTGACTTTATTGTTTTCCATTTTATGGTTATTTTTATGACT